AACTCCCGCTCTTGCACGTGGATCGGTGCCAGCAGGCTCCTGCCATCACGTGAGACCTTCCTGAGTCCAGAGATCTGTTTGCAGCCCAGGGGCGGCCGGGCGCAAAGTAGTCCTGCACAGGCAGCTCAACTTAGGAGTAAAAAACCCGTTCTGTCAGTGTTGATTAATTGTAACTTTGCGCTTCTGCTGTGTCTTCCACCTGAGATCTTCAAGTGCATTATGGTCGTTGATTAATTGAGCCTTGCGATACCCTCCCGAGGTTACTAGCATTATTGCAGCTCCTCCTATTCACAGCTGAGCAAACTAAGGCAACAGAAGGAGTGAGCGACCTGCAAGAGGTCACCGAGGATGTCAGTGGCCCCATTAGGAATAAAACCAGGTCTCCGGGAGCTCGGTCATATAACTCCTCCGCCTCGTGACGTGATACCAGGGGAAGTGTCTCCAAGATAAGAGCAGTTCCAGAGCCACCACCACACAACCGGGAGGGTCCCCTCCCCGCCGCCAGCGTCTCTTGTGCCCCACAGCTCGCCCACCTCTGGGACGGGTCACAGGGGCTCTCTCGTTTCCCAATTTTTCCTCCTTTCAAACTGGAAGCAGAGCTTGGAGAACACCAAACAAGGGTGGGGAGGAAGACCATCTTTCGCCAAAACACCAGCTGGAGCCGCGGCTTGTCCTTGAGGGCTCCTCGGCCGAGCCCCGCCAGGCCCAGCCCTGCTTCGCCTGGGAAAGCTGAGACGGTCCAGAGCCGGGGGTCGCACCGGCCCCACGCCGCTCCGGTTCCCAGAGGTGACACAGAGCCTTTCGAGCAGCTTCATCATGCGTTCACCTCAAGAGCTTGTCTCCAGCGCGTAGCGCTTAGATTGGCTGCAGTGCCAGCAAGCATGGGAAACCTATGACATTTTGGAGGTGAAGGACAGGGAGAGGAAGCCAGGACGGGAGGTCACTTCAGCGATGCTGATGGCCTGGGCAGAGGTGACACGGGCTGCTTGGCTGAGGATAATGGCAGTGTCTCATATCTCAACAGCAGAAAGGTCTTTTTGCTCCCCATCTCCCCAGAAAAGATTCAGGTGTGCTCTCCGGTAGCAGGACAGAGCAGCATGCAGAGGACAGGAGGGCTGCGTCACGCCAGGCACCTCATGTTGCACGTGCACGTGAAAGCCAAGTTGAGGACAAAGGGGAGAATAAAACCCTCTGTTCACCCCCGAGTCCAGGCAAAGGCCCGATTCAGCGCTGCGATATCCCAGCGTGGCGTTACTGCTTTCGCCAGCCTGAAGCGGTGGCAAAGCTCAGCGTTAGCGGCTCCGCAGCCCCCGCTCCCCAGGGACGCGTTGCAGGACCGACCCGAAGCCGCTGTCGTCCATGCGCGTGGGGACCGCGAACCGTGGGAAAAGGCGAAGGGGGTTCACGCCTGTAACTCCTCCCTGCTGCCCGCGCGCCCATCGGTGGGGTTTAACGCGGTCGAGCCCTGGAGATGGCAGCGAGGGAGCTGCTGGGGCCGGCGGAGCCTGGCCGCGGTCCTCGGCAGCGGGCGCGACGCTGTCTCCCCC